GCCAGATGTTTAATTGCCTTCATACGACTATCTGCTGAAAACATTGACACTGTATGTGACCCCTTCACTCCTCCCCCCCCCCAACTCCTCTCCACCTCCCCTTTTAGTTAAAGCCTTTTTGAGTTTTCCCTTTAGATTGAAATTGATGGGGAAAATACTCCACCAAGTCAGGAACATTGGCACTTTAATATTTCCTTGAACGGGGTGCGCAATAGACTTACCTCCACGTGGTGCACCCTGGGCAACGTATACTTATACGGCAAAAAAGTTTATTGATCGGCAGTGGACTTCTGACTTCAAATTTCCATGGCCCGACTATTTTTCATATTCGACCCCTTCCACAGTACTCATCTTACCTATTTTATGTCTTTGTGTCTGTCTGTCTGTCTCTTTTACCTCTGTGAATCATTATTCTGTCTCCCATCTCGACTTTTTGTCCCTTTGTTGTCCCTTCTCCTCTTCGTGAAGCCCCGAAGTCAGCTCCAGGGCTAATGATAACTATCAAAACGCCTGCCATTTGATATAAATAAATATTTCCTTGAACAAACTCAAATTATGGACCTGCATAAACCAATTATTATGAATTGTTAATTATACGATTTGAATACGATTTTGCATATAACGTTGTCAAAATTTAAGTTGGAAAATCAAGACTATAAAAATATTGTTTCTTTGCTCCTGCCTTAACTTCCGTGGAAAGAGAAGACTGGCAAGGCTTTTCCCTCTAAATTATTATATTTGTGACAAAAATCGGTCTACTACGGTTTTATGAAATTAAAGTAGACCCTCTCTCCACTTACCTTTCAAAGTGACACGAAAATACCATCTAAGACTATTTTTCCTTTGGATTATCACAGCAACACCAAATGTTACGTTTTAGAGACTACTTTAAAACCTCAAAAGTCGCCGCAGAGAATACGTCTATGGATTTATATCGACGAGATAGCTGAAATAAACAGATCTCTCATCAGAAGTGGGAATTCAATCTTTCATGCGTTGAGTGTCTTACTGGAATTTATCATGGAGTCGGACACAAAAAGTCAAGAGAGTACTATTGAAATTATGGAGTAAATTAACAGTAGCAATTGACAAAGTGATGTTGAAAGTGGTATTTCAGTTGTTTTTTCCTTACTTTCCGATTCTTCGGATTTATCCTTTTTTACAGATTTTTCTGACTGTTTTCTGCTTTATATTGAGCATTGGCATTGGTGTATCTTTTTTTGCTATTTAAAGTCCCATTATTACTATATTAATAGCTGAAAAAATAGTTACTCAACGGAACCTACAGTCGCAGTGATATGTCAGCTGTTCTGATTTCATTACAACCCCCAACGTATTCTCCTCAGGATTTTGCACCTTCGCGTGGGCTAGATTTGTGAATGCAACCATCTTTAAAATATTAATCATAACCCGAAAATCGGTTGGAATATAAAAAAAAACGCTTATTGTTGTTGGGTAAATAATTGACCAAATAAAAATAGCATAACTTGTACTACGCATTCACTTAAAAGTAAATTACACTTACAAAATTTTTTAAAGTCATCAGGTTGCGTATTACATTGCAAAATCATTTGCTCTCATTGCAGATTCGATAGATCTGAGAGACATTTAATTGCAGGAATTCGATTTTGGAAATTGCTGAATTTGTTAATGTTAAAGATTAGCAAGAGACTGATTGAATCTCGTATCAAGGGCGACCTTCCAAGAGGAAAACTTTTGTAAAAACAAATCTGGTTATTGAGTTTATTAGAAATATAAAATCACTCAAACATCGACAAGATTTGGACGTGGAATATATCTTTGTACACTCACGTTATTGAGTAAAGGGATTTAATTGTAAAATTGGGTAACGATTTCTACGCACTCTAAGTAGCGTTTGCAACACTTCCCCTTTGAATGAACATTTGAGTTGGTCAAAGGCTGTTTGGGAATAGTTGATATTTATGATCATGAGCAGAAGTCATCTCGAGTCATTTAGCAAGGTAATAATTCAATGAATTTTGAAAGCCATAAACACTTTGCTACTGAAGAATTAAAAGTAGCATCTAAATTTCGTCGAAATCTAGACTCGAGTAATGAGGGTTGTAAAACGTGAGATATCGTTAGGCATTGTTTAAATCAAGAGATATATTCATGCTCACTTTCTATGTCAACTTTAGGAATTGAAGTGAAAAATGCAAAATGGCCACTTCCACTCGTCCTTCGCACAACTCTAGAGTGATATGGTTCTTATTCCATCATTCTTAATACTTGAAAAACCTTTCCCCTTCCATGTAAATTCGCCTCATCAATAGGATATTCCTTAGGCGAAAAATAAACACGACGATTTCTATACATTTTGCGCTTTAAATGATTTAAGTTACTTCACATTACTGCCTTGGCAAGACACAGTCGGGTATCAAACAGAAGTGTTTTTTCTAAATCAAATGCGATTAGCTTATTTCTACCTAATGACTCAAGTTTAATCAATACAGTTCCAGAATTCCATCGTTTGCTCTTACTGATGATGCAAGCCCGTCTACAATAAACTCACATACACATTTTTTTAATTATTCGTTCAAGTTGCTCGGATATTCCTGCACCAGTTAATTTGATCAATTGATTTGGAGAACATAGAAGTAGCTATTCAAGTCCTCTATTAAAAATAACACTTTTTTTCAGATTTTAATGCAATTTTTTATACCGAATAATGGTTTCTCTACTACCAGATGGAGCATATATTGCTAATAATGAATTTTACTAGTTGAGTTGCGCTGACTTTGTGACATTCGGGTTGTATTAAAGCTACAGAAAAAAATACTTTTTCTAAAACTTAAAATTTGGAAGTCAAATTCGTTCATTTTCAACTTGTTCATTTTCTATGTAACTTGCAATACAGTCGATTCTCGTCAGGGCAATGGTTAACTCCGATCAGCTTTAAAACTGGCATAGTGGGCGTCATTCGATATGAGAGAGTCTGAATATACTGCACTTGGCAAAATTAATATGTTTTAAACTTACCCTTAAAAGACTAAAGAAATATTAGGTCTAAAATTGCTTAAAAACCCAATTTCTCTCTTTGTCATGGTATTTCGGAATTCTTCTATAGGCAACCAATAATTCGACGCGGTTATTTTCACATGCTGCAAATCGCTTGAATACAGTTGTGCTTATGGAATTGTGAAGGCATAATTTAGCCCTAATGACACGTTGACTATTTAAGCAATCAGTTCTAGTGACATTTTTTTATTTCGAAAAGTTGTTTTTACTGCTATTTCTATTTTACCTTGTTCATAGCTGAAACCCATAAAAAACTACGCTTTTATGTTATCAAAGTGAAGGAAAATCGTTTTTTATACTTCCTCTATTTCAATTTAAATTATCTGACTGGCTGCGATTTACTCAACTCTTTTGTGGAAATTGTGTCGACAATAAAGTACATTTCTCTTAGCTTCAATTCAATCTCATATTCGGTATATTTTTAAGGTTCCACTTTAAGCCAAGATTATCTAAATTGCAAAAAAGGGCATAATCAAAACGTACTGAAATGTTCAATGCCTCAAAGTTGTCTAAAATGACCATTTCAATATCGTTTTTATAAATGAATATGATTAAGAAAGAAATTCAAGTTAAAAGAAAAGAGATTGATAAGCTAATTACCGTACATTCACAACAGGGGAATTAATTGATACAAAATACCTGCGCTGAAAACAGGATCTGCGATACCTTTCTTCCACAACTAGTCGGTTTGCTTTAACTTTCTGACACACATATTTACACAAATTCCTATTGGTGTTTATCTGGGACGCTGGCACTTGAACAATCCAATCAAATCACTTGACCTAATTTTGCCACTTCCTAAGCGCTAATTGGTTCTCAAGCCACAGTTCGAGCAATGCTTTGTGGTTTGCAGTTTGGATTTAAAACTTAAATTCGCAATAATAACATTATATATCCAAAAATTTTTAATTTCCTTTTGGACAAACGAAATGTTCTATAAAGCGAATGATTTATAAATGTCCAATATAGACCTATTTTTTCCCAAAAAAGCGTCTTAACTATTGCATAATGAACCTTCTTGTTAATTGTAGCTTAAAAAATTCCGGCAAACGCTATTAACCTATTTGAATATTTCTTAATACTTGATTAAGATGCCCATTATCTAAAGTTTTGAAAAAATTGTTTTAATTCTATGAAATACTATATGACCCTTGGGAAATAAGCTTATCCTCTAATATCTTTCAATTGCATACTATTGGGTTTTTAATCCTGATTTGGAGAAATGAATATCTAGTCGAATAATAAAAAAAATTACGAAGTAATGTTTTCATGCAATAATTACATAAGTAGTTTTTCCTTTCTTTTGACAACTTAGCCTACTTTCAGCTTCAAAATAGCAACCGGTATGAGATCAATTAGAGCGATTAAATTAGCTAACCAATCGATTGCATCCACTGCACCCATGTGCAACAAACATGTGTACCATTTCCAGCCAATGAGAGGTGGTCAGGGCGATCATAAGGGATGCAATGGGAGACACCGAGGCGATTAGTGCACGCAATATAGTGTGCGGGGGTGAGGGCTTGAGAGACTCCCTTGTTAGAGACGGCACACAACGCGACATCTGCGCAGAGATATACCGCATAAGGCGCGGCTGAACTCCGAGGATGTTGCAACCTCGGGTGAGGGCTATGCTGCTGCTGCTGTTCCTTTTATCTCATCTTACAGCCCTCGGCTCAACATTGGATCTATCTTCCCATGGGTCTCCTCTTCCCACAGGCTAGTTTCCATTTTCTTTTCACTTGCACACCAAACCACTATATTGCCATCAAACCGGGTTTGACAAATCAGTTTTCCCTATATCGGCCTCTATGTTCGATAAAACTGTCAAAATATCGCCATTATCTGATCTATGTATCGATTGCCATTTACGATAAGTAAAATGGTCCATTGATTTTCTTTAGGCACCGTAGTTGAAATTAAGATTTTATTTCTGCAACTGCTGCATTTTTGTGGATTTCAGAGAAAGTTTTCAATTAATTACCACCCATTACTTATAATTTTTAAATAGAGATGCTGTAAGAGCATATTTTAAAACGTATTTGGCTAATTTTATTTAGAAGATAGATTAATTTGATCATTATTCCTTCGATTTTGCTTAAAAATGTTCAATCAAGCCAATTTTCGTTTTTTTTCTTGATACAAAACCCATTTTCTGCGCACTCGAACCAATTCATTTATGTGCAATTTATAAATCATCAGGTTACTTCTGCTTAACTCAAACCGGCCTATTTTGAAGTTCTTCCAGTGGGTCCACCATTCGAGCATTTCAAAATCTAGGCAAATGCACGAATTTTAGGTCAAATCAATTTCCATTGAACATTATGATATAACTGCAATGATAGATTCTTAGCAACTGATTTTTTAAATAGTTGATTAGTAGATTGCTTAAGCGCATGCTCTAGCAACATTTTCTAATACTATACCCAAGGAGTGACCTTGTAAATACCCATTCTTTTAACAATCATTACCCTGGAACTTCGAAACAAAAGCAATCAAAATTCAGTGTTTGAAAATCGTGTCTGTTGTCATTTTGACAAGTTATACAAACATAGACCTTATTCCTTTATGCACTTTCAACTATTTTGCTTACTACTGGACATGAAGCACTGTCTGTCAATTAAATATTTGTGAAATTCTGGTTGGAAAGTGGAAACAAAACGTACGCGGTAACTATATTTTGGGCATTAACGCCGATTTCGATCCATTTGTCTCTGATATCCCATAGAAAACGAAAGTAGTTTCAGACTTGACATTAAGATCTTTCATGACTATGGTATTCAAACATCTTTCTCCATTCAGGAAGCATCAACCTAGTTAATGAATTCAATCTAGACCAATTGGTGGATTCCAGTGTCATTAAGTTTGGAGGTGCCTGCAACAATGCTGGAGCAGCTTTTTCCTACAAATCAGATGCAAAGCTCTCCAAACCAGCTAGTTCCGTCTTCCCACGTAAGCCGGCCATTAAGCAATCTTCTTCAACTTGACGACACCGTGTAACATAGTGGTCATTTTACTATTTCAGATGGCATTCCGGAAAGCTTTTCCATCTTGGGTCTGGTTAAAGTCGATGTTGCCGGTAAAGAACAGACCCTCTTGGACGTTCGGGATGAAGATGGGCGAGAAGTCTTGAGTCTCACTCTCGATACTCAGTTGGTTTTCAGACTCGCAGAGACCCCAGAAACAGCAAACATCGTTCGACTCAATCACACTCTTGCCGGTACAGGGTAAGTTGACCACCTCCATCTTTTTCAAAAATATAATTTGTTATTAATACCCATACTATTTTGAAAATGTTAAAATACACTTCCTACGTAAAGTAGCTTACAGCTATTTAAAACTACTGGGGGCAAATTTGCTCGCTATTGGGAGAAATTAAATTCATTTCGTTCCTTGAGATGAAGTCATTGAAATCGAACAAATAGAAAGGTTCATTGGTTCCATGCCCTATTATTGTAATATGACGAAGGAGATATCAGGTAATCAAATTTACGCCGGCTATTGAGTCAGAAGTCACAAGATTTCTGCTCTCAGGTTCATGTACAGTGGCGGGAATGGCCAACCGTTATTGTCATCTAGAGTCAACTGTGAGAACACAGTTATCAAATTCCCAATATGGTCGACTCCTCCCAAGCCAAATGTATTAAAAATCTCTTTCAATGGTTCCCCTCCACAACTGCATAAAAAAAGCGCTTCAATTTAAAATTTGTTCAATATAGGTGGTCATCCGTCGGTCTGAGCGTGAAAGGCGATACCCTCGTCTTAATGTTGAACGGTAAAGAACGCGACTACGCAACTCTTCACAGAAGTAGTGCTGATTCTTCCGCCATTAAGAGGGGAACAGTTTACTTCCTTCACGGTCGAGAGGGACACGGAACACAGACCGTGAGTGTGACCTACTCGATTATGTTTTCAATATTTCTTAGCAAAGTTTGGCTAAATAATTTGAATGAACTTTCAGGCCAGAATTGGCGATCTGGTCTTCTCCCCTGATCCTGAGCAGGCTTACAACTATCACCAGCGTGTGGTTGAGATCTGCCCAAATATGGCAACGCTGACGAATTCTAATATCATGGTGAATGAGGAGATTTTCATAGAAGAGGTTAGTTATTTTTTGTGTACAATCATCGACATTCAATGCATATTTAAGGGCGATTGCTCGTAGAATCCAATTTGTGTGACTATTCACTACGCCTGTTGCGCTTCAAATATTCGAAACATAACTATAACTCAAAGTTATACCGAAAATTGGAGACCATGGAAATAGGAAATAGAATGGCTTTTCGGTAATGAACCCAATTAGAACGCGTTCATGTAATGGAAGATACGAAGAAGCAAATCTTTCTAGCTGAGTGATGGAGTCTCAAAAGAGAACTAGCACATGATTCAAACCGTGGCTCAACCACTAATTGTTTTAAATTAAAAACGTCAAGATAAGAAGCACCCTTGATGTCATTTTTTTAGGGACTCATGGTAGACAATTGTATTAGTCAATTTCGCTGAACAAGATCTAATTTTACTATTAACGGTTTCTGTGTTTTAAACTTTCAGGTCGATGGAATTATCTATATTCAAGTATGTTAAAAGCGTATGAATAGGATTTAATTTAGTCTTTTTATAACGGGTATTTAATTTTAGGGTCCCCAAGGGCCAAAAGGCCAACCTGGACCCAGGGGACCTAAAGGACCTCCTGTAAGTTTGTTCTCTTATTTAAATTTTCTTCCGAATGGCACGCATTGTCCAACTTACGCACTTTAAAAATTTGATAGGGTCGCGACGGTCGGCCTGGACTACCAGGAGCCCCTGGACTTCCAGGCTCCCCAGGTCACGTCATCATAATGCCAGTTCCATCCCACGGCAAGAACGAAAACGTTCGAATGGCCCAGTTCCGATCCGCCATCCAACAGTCTGTGGTAAAGTGAAATACTTCCTTTCTTTAATTCACATGCACTTAAATGCAATAACTATGCACTGGGTTAATATACCTTAATCTCATCCATTTTCAGATGATGCTCAAGGGTCCACGTGGTTTACCAGGTATGTCTGGTCTTCCCGGCATCCAAGGTCCCTCTGGTCCACCAGGTCCTAAGGGTGACCAGGGTCCCCAAGGCGACCCCGGATTCACTGGTCCTGTTGGTCCTCGCGGTCATCCTGGTCCTAGAGGACCGATTGTAAGTTTAGTTTCTCACGTCAGTTCGACTTCTACTGAGTGATAACAGTGACATACCATTCTATTTTCTGTTTTGTAGGGACGTGCAGGTAGGGACGGTGAACAGGGTGTCATGGGTCTTCAAGGTCCTAAAGGTGACCCCGGATTTCCAGGTCTTCCTGGTTTGCCTGGCAATCGTGGTCATAGAGGTATTGATGGTCCCCCTGGTGAAAAAGGTGCCCAAGGTGAACGCGGCCCAACCGGTCCTGCTGGTAGACCTGGTGAAACCGGTCCCAACGGAGAACAGGGTCCCCCTGGCTATGCTGTTAGTCGTTAAATTTATTCACAGGAATTTGCTAAATCTTTACTAACCCCATATCTTTCAGTGAAGAAAGGAATCTGTCTGATTTGCAGATCATACCATTTCCTCATGTCTGGACTAGTGGTTGTTTGAGGCTTTTTAAGGTGTTACTTTTATGTTTATGTTGTCTAATCGAAGTAGCCTATTCAGACCAGTTATTGATTATGCTTAAATATCGTTTAAGGAATTTAATTTAATTGATATCATGGATAACTCCACGGGCATAGATATCTCGCTGTTGGAAATGCTTAAAAACGCTTTGAAAAATATTTATAATTCTATTATTAGCGATTATAGATTTGCCTTGATCAGAGGAATATTTTGCGTTCGTTGTAAAATTACCTTAATTTGTACGGATATTCTCTGGAAAGAGGATTACCTCTTCTCATACACCTGATAATGAGTGTTTGGCGAAATAGATGTTACCAAGCTAATTTATGGGGAGTCATTGCAGAAAACTTGAAGAGGTAGCATTACTGCTAGACCTTCACATCATTAATGTTGTTTCAAAGGAAATATTATCATCATCTTCGCAGGGAATTCGTGAACCATTTATATTTAAATCTCTATCCAGCCAACTTCATCTTACTTTAGTCAGAAGAACCGGTAAGGGTTGTTAACACAAATGGTTAACGGTTGGTAAAGCATTACTCAAGTGAACAAAGCGATAAAACGATTGTTTGCAATACATACAGCCGAGAGAGAAATCTTGCGACACCTAGTGAACCATTTAAAAACTGGATTGAGCCAATGAATGTAAGCTTTAGTAGCGCTTGACAATGAAGGAAGAAAAGGATTGCATGGTAATACCGCCTGGAACCCTTAAAAGGGAGACAAGAAGCTACTAAGTTTGATTAAATACATTTTGGAAAACTAGGAGAAATGAGATATATGCATGGTTTAGACTAAGTGGATTTTATTTAAGATGCATCATGTAGATCATCTGTGAACTCCATTTAACAGATTAGTTCTTTGACTGCGTTCATTGAGTTAATAATGATGAGTAATGAACTTATTGATTCCACTATTTAAGGGTCCAGCTGGCCCACCCGGACAACCCGGTATCCGTGGTCTTCCCGGTCCCGTGGGTCCACAAGGTCCCAAGGGTGACATTGGCCAAACTGGTTTGGCTGGTCCCACCGGTCCTGCTGGACCACCTGGTCCAGCTGGCGTTGTTGGGCCTCAAGGTGAACGTGGTACCCCGGGTATGCCTGGTCGTCGTGGTAACCCAGGTGTATCAGGCGCTTCAGGTGCCACTGGCCCTACTGGTAATCCTGGTGCTCAGGGTGATATTGGTCCGAAGGGCGACGATGGTGCCGAGGGTCTCCCTGGTGACGTCGGTCCAATGGGTGCGATCGGTTTCAAGGGCGATCGTGGACCCCGCGGTCCAGTTGGTCCCAAAGGAGCCACTGGTGTAGCTGGTATGACTGGAGTTACAGGAGAGCGTGGTGATCGAGGAGAAAACGGTGAACGAGGCTTCCCTGGTCCTACTGGTCCTGAAGGTCTCCCAGGGGAAAAGGGTGAACGCGGACAAGTTGGTCAAGCTGGTCCTCATGGTCCTGATGGTGAGAAGGGTTCTCAAGGTCCGATGGGACCTCCTGGTTATGCTGGAGCCCCAGGTCCTAAGGGAGCGGTTGGCCCTCCCGGTCCAAGTGGACGTGATGGTGAGAAGGGAGACAGTGGTCCCATTGGCCCAATTGGTATGAGAGGCCCAGTTGGTCCAGCTGGACCCCCTGGACCAAGGGGTGCTCCAGGACCATCGGGTCCACCAGGACCTCGTGGAGATGAAGGACCAGTCGGTCCAATGGGTGCTCCTGGTCCGGCCGGACCTACAGGCCCTCGTGGCCCACTCGGATTTACTGGACCTGTTGGACCGACGGTAAGTAAAGTTGTTTACACTCCTTTATTTCGAAAGTTTGCTTCAAATAACTTGTACGTTCTAGGAATGAAATCTGGTTCTAGAGCTCAAATTTAGTTTCTTTTGCTAAAAGAGAAATCATATATTATGGACTATCACAACTTAAAAGATTGGAAAGAAATGAGTGTGCTGAAAGATTGATTAAAAACCATATGACAATATTTGCATACTTCATTGAGAAGGAGTAAAGTAGATAGACAACGTGATACGAGACACTGCTGGTCGGAGTATACTGAAATCTCCCAACATTCTCCGATTGGTTCATTAAAATAAATCAAAATGATGGTTCGACACGAAAGGTTTGGTTGCGTTAGGTATTAAATTCTGCAATAGGAGCTTAAAAACGGCCTTGATTTTTAGACAATTGGTATCCCAAGCAACATAAATGGCTATGAAAGAGGAGGAAAATTTTGAATTGAACGAACCTTAATACACATGATCGTAGCAACAATTCGTAATTTCGTTCCATCTTTAGGGTCTTCCTGGTGTTCATGGTCCTCCGGGTGATATCGGTGAACGTGGTGAGTCGGGAGAACGCGGTCCACCTGGTGAAATGGGTCCAATTGGTCTTCCTGGCCCTACTGGACCCACAGGTGATCCAGGACCAGTTGGTGAACCAGGACCCAGAGGCCCTCGTGGTCCTTTGGGAGTCCCTGGTAAACCCGGTAAAGAAGGCGTTGAAGGTGAACCTGTAAGTTTCCATCAATATTTCTTAAACTTCGAGCCAACATGAAGGGAGAGAGAATTTAGCTGCTTTGAATTCAGGGTGACAAAGGTGACCAAGGTCCTCCTGGTCCTTCAGGTGCTGCTGGACCCATCGGTTTTCGGGGTGCACGAGGACCCAACGGACCTCGTGGAAAGATCGGTCCTAAGGGAGATCAGGGCAAACCTGGTCTTCAAGGTCGTACAGGAGATCGTGGTGAACGCGGTGACCTCGGCCCTAGAGGTTCTCCTGGTCCTCTGGGCCCTCAAGGTGCACGTGGTCCTGATGGCCCACAGGGCGAACCTGGGTATGTGTTTGATCCAATTATTGATTCTATAAATGTCTTAGTATTACCACCTGCTTTACAATAGAGTTGTTTGAAAGATAGGCTTCAACTGCAGTAGAGTTGAGCTATGATCCACTTACACGCAGATACACCTAGAAAACAGTTATCGGTAACTTCTAACAGTTTACTTTACCTATTAGTTGGAACCTTAGATAAACTCCAATACCGTCTCAAGCGTTTTTTGCATTAGCTATAATTGATAATGCAAATCTTTGATCATCTTCTACTTCTATTTTATGTTGTCAGAGACAAGGGTGAAGCTGGTGTAACTGGCCCTGCTGGTCCTGCAGGTCCAAAGGGTGTTCGTGGACCCCGCGGTAAGCCTGGACCTCTTGGACCTCCTGGCATTGATGGCCAAAAGGGTGACCAAGGGCCGAATGGTGAAGTTGGTCCCAAGGGTGACCGTGGCGCTCCTGTAAGTTGACATTTAACACATCCCAAGAGAGTCATGTCCAATGGATATCCGCTAAGACTGCATTCTTGCATTTAGGGTGAACCTGGCCCACAAGGTGCTCAAGGTATTATGGGACCACCTGGTATCGCTGGTCTACCTGGTGACCCCGGAGAACCTGGAGAGCCTGGGCCTCAAGGACCTAAGGGCGTCCCTGGTAAACGCGGACCTGTTGGTCCTCCTGGTCTTATGGGTCCTCCTGTGAGTTAATGACTCTATTCAGGACATATAAACTGGCTTACTCATTGTTTATCTATTGTCAGTTATGTGGAACTTCAATTAAATACTGTTTTAAGTTTACTTTTTCCAAACCAAGTCGATTATAGAATGATGAAATACACGGTGTCCCAATTATTCTCTAGAAGTAACCGAAAAACAGTTAGTAGGTACCAGTGAAATACAGAGGAATACGTGCTGCTGAATGTAAAATCGAAGTATTTAGGGCAGTTTTAGTCACACATTCAACCGCCAACAACCTCTTATATTGTTTTATTCCATTGGAGTTCGTTCTCTGCAGGTCAGATGAGAAATTAAGTTGTCTTAATTCTCCCAATGAGTCATGCCCAATTAGATCGAATAAGAACCTTGATCATTTTATTGAAATCAAGAAAACAATGGTTTTTATTACCTGCTCATCAAGTAGAGTGTATTCACAAGCTATTTTGTCATAAAATTTATTACGGCAAGTAAATTCATGATGATATCAAATATTGATCCAACTTTGATTGGTTCATAGTTTACCTTAATTTACTTTAAATTTCAGGGTCCACCTGGTCCAGTCGGTCCCCGTGGTGAGCAGGGTGACAAGGGACCGCAAGGAGCTATGGGTATCCGTGGTCCCCCCGGTCCTACAGGCCCAGCTGGAGCTGCCGGTGTTCGTGGTCCTACAGGTCCTCCTGGTCCTGGTGGTCCTCCTGGCCCTAAGGGCGAAACCGGTCCCATTGGTCCTCGTGGGGAGAAAGGGAATAAGGGCTCCACTGGTCTTGATGGTATTCCAGGTGTCAAGGGTTCTCGTGGTAAACGCGGTCCTCAAGGACCAACTGGTCCCGTCGGAATGACCGGTCCCCCTGGTCCTCCCGGTGATATGGTACCTTTCCGTTAAGAATATCCCTCTCTCGTTGAGTTAGAACATTAATCATTATTTAAGTCACACTACCTGAGTACACAAACACAGCATTAATCTTAATTAGATTTGGAAATACAAGAGATAGAGAATAGGAATTCAACTCAACTAATAAATATTTAGGGTCCAACCGGTCCAAAAGGATCAATGGGAGCTCCTGGCCAAAGTGGAGAGCGCGGTGCTACCGGTCCAGCAGGTAAGGATGGTCCTCCTGGATCTCAAGGTCCGGATGGATCAATTGGCGAAGAAGGGCCTCCTGGCCCAACAGGGTTAGCAGGCGAGTCTGGTGTTCAAGGTCCAGTGGGCCCAGAGGGTGAAAGCGGTCCAGCTGGAGATCGTGGTGACCGGGGCAAACCAGGAGACAGAGGACCGCGAGGTGCTCGTGGTCCACCTGGTCCTCCTGGTCCTGTTGGCCAAATTGGTGAAACGGGTTCTGCTGGAGAAGTCGTAAGTTCTACACTAAGTTCTTTTTGGTGGTTTCTTTGAGTGCATATGCTAACATTATTGAAATTCTTCTGCTAGGGCCCACAAGGTCCTATGGGCAACCCCGGTAAAAAGGGACGACGTGGTTCAAAGGTATTCCTACTTACACATTTGATTGTTATGGCTTTTTATTATTAGCTGTAAATTATCTAACATTAATGCATATTCTTCAGGGACCCCTTGGACCAATGGGTCCTAAAGGAGATACAGGCCAGCGTGGTGTGCGTGGTAATCCTGGTACTGTTGGTCCAACTGGACCGAAAGGAGAGCCAGGTAGCCCTGGTGATCGCGGTCCAGAGGGCAAACAGGGTGAACCTGGCCCAATGGGAGATGAGGGACGCAAAGGTGACACCGGTCCACCTGGTGATGATGGTGAACAGGGACCTGTTGGTCCCACCGGACCAGCCGGACCTCAGGGCCTTCAAGGTACGTTGAATTCTGTGGTTGGTATTGTTTGATTTTTTTTTAAAAAAGGCGTTGTTTGGCAGATTATACTTTCAATAGCGGCGATGACTGACGAAGCACACAAGAGCATGGTTTCTGCACTCACTTGCTCTCCAGAGTATGCTTGAAAAGTCATTCAGTCACTTATTCACATCCCTATTGAATGGTGTTCAAGGCATGTGCTGAATTTATTCGGAAATACTTGTTGCATTCTTAAAATATTCTATCTTCAATTATGTCACCTTGACTAAATTATTGTGGAAGAAATTGGTCAATACTCCAAGTTATATAAGGGGTGTGCCTCCTAATTAACCTAATATTCTTTTAGAAATTACGGGTATCTCATGAAGCCTGGAAGAAGAACCACAAATAAAATGGTATGGGAAAATGTAATCGAATTACTAGTCATCATGAAATGTTGGGGGATCCATATTACTCCCTCAAACTTCGATGAGTTAGTTAAAAGTTGGAAGAATTGCAAATCACTACATAAGTTTGTCTATTCTTAGTTGTGTTTGAGCTGACTAAACTGCATTGATTGGAGTGGCTTCGGTGGCAAATGTTGTTGCTTTTTACTATTATTAATTAATTTGAATGACTATATCCCAGGCCGATTGATTTGATTAATGCCTTGATAAAATTCATCCAATTAAACTTGAATGAGAATGAAGGTTGAAGTCTTCGGTAAATTTATATCTTGTCATATAAGTCTGTGTGTGCGAATGGGTGCGTATCGACTGGCAAGCTTGAGGTCAATGTTTTTGCGTAGAGATATTTGTGCAAACCATGTTGTCCTTCTTGCGAAGCATTTGTGGCATAAACTGCTGCTTTGCTGACAACGAACCTTTTTTTCTCTCTCTCTGCCTTCCATAAAATGGCGTTAAAGGTCCGCGAGGCGAGCGCGGTCCCACTGGTGATGCGGGACCCCAAGGCCCACAAGGTCCTACTGGTCAGGTCAAGGTCCTCAGTCCTTCAGGCGGCTTTGAGGGTAATATGAGGCTTAAAAGACGTCAGGCGCCCGATCCTAATCAAGGTAAGAACCACTCTTTTAAGTTAATTAATGGCTATTAATTTCTACCTCAGGTCAAGCCATACAGTTGTAGGACGTAAGGGGTAGAGATGGGTCTATAACTGTAGGTATTTTAGCAATTGAAGAGAGAAAAAAACTATCAAATCGAATCTTCTACTCACAAAGCTCTAAAATACTAAAATAAGGTGATGAGTTATCCAAACTACGCATCTTATATAATGGAGTATAGAAAGGTGCATACTAAAGAAAACTAGTGTTTTATGGTAAGTAACTGGTAATTGACGAGGTACAATTCACTTCAGTAAGCTTCTTTCAGTGCCTTTAGGGTGATAGAATAAATTGGTGATTGAAGAAAAATTGAATCGCAACGAAGTTGTTCAATTCCAAAGTCCAATTAGTTAATACTGCTCGGAATCATACAAATCGTTGAAATTTTCAAACTCTTAAAGTGAAAGAATTTTTACAAATCCTGACGCTTTTCCTTCATCTGATTAAAATGCAATGGATTCTGTATACAAGCAAGCCGTATGACAGCTTAAATGTTAACGATTATAATAGAATTTGTAATTAACCAAAAGGTTAATGATTGACAGGTTGGCTGATTAGTATCGTGATATCTATCTCGGTTCAATGGCTGAGAGAAAAGCCCCATTATTAAGCATTCAAGCAAACATTTTTTTGAGATTATTGAGTTGTAATTCAACCATTTATGGGTTTAACTTCTAAAGAACTTCAAACTCGTCTTTATAGTGATAACATTGCCGGAGTTGAACAAGGCTCTTTTTGATCGCATTGACCATTTGTGGAATGAAGCCCAACGTTTGACGAAGCCTTCTGGAAATAGTCAGGAATATCCCGCTCCCAGCTGCAAAGACATAAAGTTGAATAACAAATTCGCTCGTAATGACACGTACGTTTTGCCTTTTGTTAGGGGAAAATACTATGAAATATTTTTTTTTCTACTTATATGTAATAAGTAGCTTTATCATTATAGTTATTGGATTGATCCAAATGGTGGTTCAAGTTCTGATGCTGTCAAGGCTGAATGCATCTTCCATGATGATGGAACCGTAGAAACGTGCCTTTCAACCGGTGTTGCTTCGGTAATTTCTATTTCATCTTTCGACAGATTATGCTTAGAATTGAATGTGCCTTCACATGGATTACGTACCAGTTTCGATTAATCCACACTTTAATTTCTTGCAGGAGAACCTTGCTACTTACCTGAAACCACGCTCAAGTGAAGCTGATTATTGGCAGAGCCATCTTCTTGTTGAGAATGGTATAAGTCCTCCTGATGTAAGACTTTAGATTGTGTTTTGAACTCAATCGTTTACATTAATCTGAAATGAGAATACCTGACTCCGAATCTGCACTCTATTTAAGCTTCATCACCAGAGCCCACATACCCAAATGAACCTTCTCCGAATTCAACATCGTTATGCAACTCAGGAGTTAGAATTCTTCTGTGAGGGGACAACAATCTTTGGTGGTGATATCAACTGGGAAACCGAAGAAGTTGACATGTCAAAGGCAACATCTCTGTTGGCTCACAATGGTCGGGTGATTGATCTGACCAAAGGTGATCATCACGGTCCGGGAGAAAACTATATGGAGAAGATTGACTTCGAAAGTGCCATTCATCGACATGATGTGCGTGTTTCCATTGAGTATGACGGTTGTAGGGTAAGTGAATGCCTGCTTACTGAATTTCCAATAAGTAGGGAGCAATAGTAAATTAAGCTTTATTTCACCTAAAGCACCGTCAACCGGGTACCTCAACCAAAATGCATATTGAGACCCGCGACCCCCAATTGTTGCCAATTATTGACTTCACTGTGAAAGACTTTGACGCGAGTGGTAGAAGTACCCTCAGTCTCGCTGTCAGGGCTGTCTGTTTCAAGAACTAATCGATACCTTTCACCATCGCGTCCTTCAGAATAGCATCCCCATTTCATCATCCTCATCTTCATCATCGGTAAAGTAAAGTAGCAAACACCACTTCCAATAGGAACGGAAAGGTACTCATTTGAAGACGACAAAGGCATTGGCTCGTGCTTTTTTCTTGATCTTCCACTTCTAACACACTCAACTCCCTGACCCTGTCTACTAACCCCCCTGTGTTACCCTCCTTTTAGTCCTACCTTTCCAAGTTTATTATTTTGTGAAAGATTTGTGTTGAGTATCGTTGTGCAAACCTGTGGCTATGGATTGTAAGAAAAGCGTTTTTTGTGCAAAATTCTTTCAGATATATGTCAGTCTCAAAGATTGTAGTTGGGCCAATTGGAATTGACGATCAAAGTAAAATTCCAATTTAATTTACTTAATTTGTGCAACGTTGTAAGAGGGTCTAAAGATGTGTGTGTTTGTACAAGCAGTCACTGGCGTTGAGAAGAAATAGCTGTGAGTCTTAGCCTTCGCAATCTTGTGGAGAGTGAACCGTATGTTTCACTAGTTGTAGGAATTTCCTGTCGAATTGGCGACAAGATCTGTAAGCTAGCTGCAAATGATGCAGTGCTTCAAAGTAGAGATTAATGTACAAATCGAAACAAATTTATGGAGAGCGTGGGTTTGTGTTGTTGACAACCCTTAAAAGCTAATTTCGCATCCCTGAAATTCGGTTTGCTCACAACGTTAAAAAAAGACTAAGTTTGCTTATAAGCTTCAAGCAATGTGAACTTAAACTTATTAAAAACTTTGGAAATCAATCCTTGAAAGGAGGAGTGGGGAGGGGGGGAGGGAAGAATACCCACTTCATTTGGTGAATACTGAAATCTACTGAAGTGAGATCCATTTGTTTCCAAGAGATCATTCACTACTTCTGAACTGTTCGTATTGACTGATTTTACTCTTCCCAGCATTTTGTATTTGCTAATTAAAACACACTTTGATGCTCAATGAAGGTAAAATGTTCGGCAACACTTCAGCTAAGCAAACTGACAAAATATTCAGTGGAATCTAATTTTTAAACCCAATTATATTAGCTCTATAACTTGAACACTCCCTAAAGTTAAGAGAAATTGGGTGGGAAAATATGTATATTTTATTTAAAAAATGTCTTTATGATTCTAAGTAACATCATGCGCATTAAAAGGTCAATTTACGCTCACGCTGAACTGTTTTGATTAGTCATTCAAGTAGATCAAAATCCCCTCTCTTCGTACAAAAAATGAATAATGTATTTGTTCATTTACAACAAAGAATAAATAAAGAATTTGAACAAAGGCATATCGAATTTCAACTGGTGTGCAAGCAAAACTTTTTACATTATTTTAATTCATTTATTTGTTACGTGTGGATTTGGGAAGTTGATGCAAATTTCCACCATCTCAAGTAATGCTTAAAAGTAAATTCTAATGTAAGATATCGAAATTAAACTAATTATGGATAGAAATTACTAGCATGGTCAGTATTCCTTGTAGCGTATTTTTAATCAATTAATCAGAATTAATTGTAATATTAAAAACAATTGAAATTGAAATTTATAACTTCAGTCACCATTTCCCTCTCTTCTGAGGTGAGACTTCTTAGCTCTGTCCTGAGGTCAAAACGTTAAGGGCATTAAAATCAATTAGAAAGAAATTTCGATGGTTATTGACTATGAACGGCAGATGATTAGTCTACACACCCCCCCTTAAATAAAGTATGGAAATGAGTTATAGAAGCTAGAAGAAAGCTTGAACATTAGACTAAAATGCTAGACCACTGACGTTGGAGCGCAAGCAAAAGATTTTCCAGGTAACTCAGAAACGATTTTCCATAATATTTTCTTTTTTAATTCCCATTATTAAATTAAATATATACTACTGCTCTATGGTGGGAAGATGACTTATCTCCGCGACCAAGTCAACTTATTTCTCAAATTTCAACGCCCACCAGAGTGCATCAAGTGGAGTGGATGACTAACTGCACGGATTTATTTTGGTTCACACGGAGATCACGGGGTGGGTAAGAGAGTGGAACTAGAATACTTCTAACCAATTCAGATTACATCAACATTTCTCATAGCGTTCGTGGGATTGTTTACTTTTTAATGTGCAAAAACTGTGTTAGTTTGGAAGCTATTCTTTGAAATTTTAAATTATTCGGTTGGTGAAATTTAAGATGAAAGTTAACGGTAAGTAGGATAATGAAATAAAACGATAATGCGAACGAAATAAACCCAAGCAAGCCTTCGATGTTCATTCTACGCTATACTCTTGAAATATTCGATCTGTTTGCCTGAAGAACTGTTAACAGTCGTTGAACACATTAAAGTACAATTTTAGACGGGGTGATAATGAAATTTGAAAAGTAAATTTAACAAAAGGAAAAGAGAGTATTAGGATTGATTTCGTGATAGTCTGATTTGTGCTCTTACTCTAACTTTATCGTCAGACTATTTGAAAATAAATTTTAGTAAAACAATCGGATTTCATGGGAATTAAGGGGGGGGGGGAGTTTTTGGGTGTTTGTGACAAAGGTTAGCATTTAGTACCATAAACCGAATTTCGAAGAAGTGACTACTTTTGAATCAAAAAATGCGAAACAGCACACTTCAATGGAACATGACCCGATAGAAAATATTCTGAAAGCGTGTATTGTATCTATATTCACGGCTAAATCAATTCAAATGAAATGGGCGATTCTAGAGGATTTTGTTATTTTAAATAAGTTTATGCTGCAATAGAATGTGGTATTTTACCCAGAATGAGAGAACAATGGTTTGTTTATGCTTAAATATTCGAGAGAGAGGGAGAGAGACAGAGAGGTTGGGCCATTCCAGCGTGTGCAATGTCACGTGTTTGGCGCAACTGACGTCATCAAACTTAGATGCGCATATTTGCTGGTATTCCTGACTTCCTTAGGGGGTTAGTTGGCACTTTCATAAAAATTACAAAAAAGTTGGCATGTGCAATTAAATCCAAAATCAAAGTGTCTGAATTCAACATGAAGCAAGCAACTTCCTTTCAACTCTTATAAACTTATTTGTAGCACATGATGTATATTTACTATCCTCACTGCAATAAAAAGGTTGTTTATCGTATTAGTTAAACAAGCGATAAATGCTATTTTGTGGGAATTATAATTAACTTTCTCGGCATAGAAATTTGCCGTCCTAATTGGATTTATCGAATACAATTGTACAGATATAGCTTTCATCAATTGATTAAGGTACTATATGAAGACAATGGACAATTGATTTTTACAATATTAAAAAAACGATGCATCAATAAAAACCCCTATTTCATACTATTTGTCGATGTTTACTTATTTTAAACTAGTAAATATTTGAAGTAAAAATCAAAATTTCAATGAAATTAATTATTTCAAATTTACACATATTATGAATGAAGTGGAAATGTTGCGATTCAAGGCGCTTCAGGTGTTTGTAATCATTTGAAATTTTAATTTAGAAATTTCTTTTATTTTTTCTTTTATTTTTCTGAATTCTTTTCTCTTTTAGCTTCCTCAAAATCAAGGCCAACAATTGAGGTAGCCTCAGTTCTCATTAATCCCGTATTTGGTACATCGCCTAATGAGGTTGGAATTAACGACCTTCTTATAGGCCTATCGAGAGTGAAAGGAATAATTGTTGATTAGAACTATCGGCCTATTGCCCAACTGGAAATAAACGATAATGAATAAAGCAACTTGATTTAAACAAAACAATGAAAATGATAATATCGGTCACAAGCTTTCATTAGAACAAACAGAAGCATTACATAACTAATAGAAGATCAAAGGAATCACACAATATTTTTTATCATTTCTTTCTATTTGAATTGCATCGCAAACTCCTTTGTCTGCTTTCATTTGCCTTTATGAATAGGTCTTTTATCCACCATTTGGCACAAGATAATAGATTTACCTAATTAATTCTCGAGGATAATTGGAAAACGTGAGCTAATTAATAATATACAGTCTGTTAATAACTTTCTAAATATATAAATCAAATTATTTGATCACATAGAAGGCATTAGTTGAAATATGTGCTTGAGTTTGCTCATGTAAGGTAATTATATTCAACTTATGAATAAATGTCATAGCTTTATTTAGCGAATGAGATTAAAGTATAAGGCACTAGGATTTGCCAAAAGTTTGATCACCGTCATTACTAATCTTCGAAAGGCAATTATCCCGATCCCACGTGGTCGTTCAGCATTTATTTTAATTAACATGATAATCCAATTAAGTTGTCCTTGAATGAGCCGATTCCCATGACTGTTCTAATCGTTTATAGTATCCTGTCAATTGAAGCCAAAAAAGTCTTTTTAGTAGTACACATTCACGTTGTGACACGCCTGTCATTCACCGGCCCCTACGCTTCAACCTACTCCATCCTTGCACCCACACATCGTTAGAGTGGACCACACAACTCTTGCATTCCAATTTTGATCCTGTTATTGGGTGACAGCCAAAAGTGCCTTTTTATTTTTTGCAGAACAATTCTTCTAAACTGATTTTGTTAAGTACATAAATCTGCTTTACTGAGATCTAACTATCCCAACGAACTATAAATTTTTAAGTAAAGCTAAATGCGCCGTAAATTTTTATTAAAACAAAGTCTAAATTTTGCCAAAGTTTGTCTCGCACCTGTAACAATTCCAATGTATTTTCATTGAAATCCTATAAACATCGGGTGTGGTTGATTGTTACTAATTTTTTGAAAGTCTTTGTACAATTTTAGTGTGGGAATTTTGCTATTTTTAAAGATAAATCCGGAAAACCAGGTCGATTGGTATTAAATTCCTCCATAATAGAAGACAAACGACACTTTGGTTAATTAAAATGGTTGGCAGCTAAACTAACGTTTACTGAAGAATGGGATAAGTTCCAGATCACGAGAGTAAATTAACTACGCCTTCCAAAGACGCATTGTCCTAAAACTTTTCAGTTATAATTCAATTGCAAGCTGATGAACCAATCA